GGGGGGGGGGGGAAGCGGGGCACCGCCTGACTCATCCCCCACCTGGCAGGGGCCTCCTCTTGTCAACGAGAGTGCGCCGGGTGCCGGGGGCACAGCTGGGCCGCCGGGTGCGTTCGCCGGAATTGAGCCGGGGCGTGAAATCCCCGCTGTCCGGCCCTGCTGCCGGCTGCTGCGAGGCTTGCAGCCCTGTGCAATGAGCGCGAGGGGGCGGCACCAGCCCTCGGGGGGGGGGGAGCCTGACGCGCCTGGGCGGGTGCTCACGCGGCGGGGATCTGGCGCGCATGCGCCGCTGGGCCAGCCGAACTTCCGAGAGGAAGCCAGGTGGCGAGGTAACCGGCCGCCCGGGGGGCCGGCCCCGCGACGGGCCTCCGGGCGCCGCCGGGAGAATGGGCTAGCCGACACGCGGGCGCCGTGGCGGACCGCCGGGCCGGGCCGCGAGGCGCTCCATATGAGCGGATGACTGGCGGGCGCGGGGACGCGAGGGCTCGCGCACAGGGGGGAGGGGGGGGGGGCCGCAGTCGTGCCGGGTCGCGTCGGGCGGCGGGCCCCGGTCCGGGTTCCTGCCTGGCCCATTGCCGGGTGGTGCGCGGCGACCGGCCCCCCCCCCCTCCCCCCCGGGCGCCAAGGGTCAAGGCGCCCGGGCGCGGGCGTCGCACGAGCGCAACACACGAGCAAGCAAGGCCACACACACACACACACACACGGTCAGCCGAGCCCTCCCCATGGGGGCCGCCTGTTCGGCCACGGCGCCCTGCCGGGGAAAGGCCCGAGGGGGGCATGAACGGTGGCGACCCGCATGACCCGCGCGCACCCTCCCTGGTGGGGCATCCAGGCCGGGGGGGGCGGGCGGGGCGGAGCAGCCGCGCGGGAAATATCCCCCCTGGGGGAAAACACCCGCCTGTCCGGCCGGGGGCCAGGAGACCGCAGGGCGGGCAGCCGGACAACAAAATAACAAGAGCCCTGTGCCCCCCGGCGTGTGGCGGCCGTGCCGGAAGCCGCGCCGCCCGGCCCCGGGGCAGCCAGCGCCACGTGCATGTTCGGCGGCCCGCGCGCGCGCGGTGGCGCCTGAGACCGTCCAAGCAGGCAGGTCGCCGGGGGTGCCACCTGGCGGGGCAGGGGCGCGGCGACCCGGCAGCCCGGCGGCCACGCGCGCGCCCAGCTCTCTCTCTCTCTCTCTCTCGCTAAGTGACCGTGTTCGCCATGATGGGGGGAGCACTTTCGGCCAGTCGGGTGATGAGCAATCTCTCCCGGTGGCCCGGTGCTCGCGTGGGAAAGGCCTCCGTCCCGGGCCCCGGCGACGAGAGGCGGTCGAACCGCGCCCGGGCCCGGCCGCTGGTGGCTGCACGGCGCCCGCAGCGGACCGCCCGGGCGCCCCCCCCCCCCGGTACATTCCGACCCCGGCCGCTGTCACAGATAGCACCCAACGGGCGGCCAGTCAATCGGAGCGCAATCGGGCTCCCCCATGCTGCGCCGCCGCCGCCGCCGCCGCCGCCGCCGCACCGGCCCCGAGCCAGTGTGACCCGGAAGACCGCCAGGTGGGCCCTGCCCTGGGACTGACGGTCCGGCGCAAAGGGGGCGCCCGTGTGCCTGCACGCGCACGCCCCGGGACCCCGACGCTCGGCGCTGCCAACCGTCCCCCCTCCCCCGGTTGGGACCCCCCTCCCCCAATGTGACCGCCGCAGCGCCCCCCCTCTCTCCGGCCACCTGCCCGCCTTGCTCAGGCAC